TCGCTACAAGCATGCTTAGTGTGAGGGATTGCCTAGAGTCGATGCAATCAACTGGTTTTCCTTAGATAGAAAACTTTGAATCTATTTGACTGTATGATTTGTTGAACTGTAAATTGCCTTGGGATGACGTGTTGTGAATTGGCGCTATAGAAATAAACTGAATCGAATTGAATTGAGAAATTATTGTTATTATTTTTTTTACTGATCGACTCTAAATTCATTAAATCACTGCAAGCATATTAGTTTTAGTTATAGATAATTGATTATTCCTCTCTGACCTGACTTGTCCTTTAAAGGTGGCAATAGCTCTGATTATCTCAGTTGGTAGATCACATGGCTTAAGCCTTTTACCCTTATTCTACAGCCTAGCCCTAAACTTCTTCTGATCATGAGTGGAAAATTTAAATTACCCAGATGATCAAGACTAACCTTTGACCTCAGTGTAAAACGAGTCGATTTTCATTTTCCACTGAATTCTGCTCAACACTGACGTCCCCATGTACATCAACATGTTGATTAACCGTTCAACAAACGCCATGTGATCGCTGTACGGCAGCGGAGACGCTGGGACATAGGACGCCGGCAACAATGCCTGACCGCAGTCACGCTCCAACGTGCTGCCAAATGAGAACCGCATGGAAACTACGAGGGGCAGGCCGAGGATGTCGGCCACAAGGTCTCCACAAGGCGCCATGGGGTCATGTAGGACCACATCGAAAGCGGAGTTCCGCAAGGTTTCCATCAGCTCCTTGTTCTTCAGCATGGCTTCACACTGCTGCATCCCGATCTGAGCAAAATTACTCAGGATTGTCATCGGCACCAGAAAGCGGCGCAGCAGTGAAGAGTTGTGGGCCTCGTACATGGAGAAGTGAATGAAATCGTGCATCCAGCTAGTCATGTCCGATTTACTGAAAGGAACCTGAAGAAGGAAACAGATGCAGCAGATCAGTTTATTAATCAACTAACTGATCATATTCTAACACTAACAAGGAAAATATTGAATGAATTTCCAGTGAATTCAAAAATTAAGAATGGAAACACAAGGTTCAGCTAATGATGATGTTTTAAGTTGATCAGTACTTGCTAAAATGTATATACCAGCATTGATCTGTGNTTGATGTTGATCAGTACTTGCTAAAATGTATATACCAGCATTGATCTGTGAGATGGTGGTTGGAGTTCATCACCTTGAAAACCAGGAAGTTGAACTTAGCAGCATCTCTGCTGCTGTTGAAGTTGACGGACGGCGATGCATCCGGCACCAGAACGGTGACCTTGTGGTTTCTTCTCACAAGCTCCTCTATGATTGTCCGCATGTTGAGCCAGTGGCTGTGCTCACCTGGAAAGGCCAGAACGTGTCCTCCATCTGCCAAAGAGAAGAAAATCCCCACCAGCAGGACAGAAAGAGGACTCATTGTGGATCACAGTGAATAAATGGAGGACCGAGTGTTTGTCTGCAGCTAAAGATCCAGAGTCCAAACTGATCAAAGGTAACTGTAAGCTCTGATCTGATTGGAGCTCAGAGCACAATCATCAGTTTAGAGCTGTAAACACTGCTTAACAGTCAGAAGGAAAAGGAAAATCAAGGCAACCAGCATTCTTCTTTTGAATAGAACACGTGACTGATAAGGTTTATTTTGTGAGATGAGTTCATTCAGATGTGGATGATTCAATAAGTACCCAACCAGATAAGAGCACAGTCTAAAGTTTAATAACTGAGCAGATCTAGGGCAAACAAGAGACACACAAAGGTCTGAATTTCTATCTATATGTGGACTTTTCAATGACTTCCATTCATTTTAGTTATTGCATTTATGACTAACCCTGACATTTACCCTAACCCTAACCATTATCAATGTATTCCCCAACCCTAACCTTAGCCTAAAGGTAATTCACACCATACATCTAAACTACCACACACAAACACATCTCTTTATGTTTGCTGCGTCTTTCTATGGAATTACATTCACTTTAAACCAATTTAACAGCCTTACTGTGACCCTTACTCTATACCTAACCATTAAGGGTTAATACCTAACCTTAACCTAAACTCAGTTCATAACTTGGTCCTAAATATGACCCCTGACCATGAAACAGCAATTTCACTTATGGAGCAGAACAGCTCACACACACATTCTTACAGAGTGTGGAAAGACAGAGGCGGTTTCCATTGGTTGATATCACACCCCACAGCGCCATTCACCTCACCTCCTCATTACAGTAAAAGTAAAAAAAAAACAAGTTTGAGCCTTTTTTTAAACATTCTTGGAACTCATGATTGGAAATTGCTTTAACTCTTTTTCGAGTTTATTCCAGACCTTCACACCTGAAATGCACATTCTCTTCATGGTGTTTTAACCCTCAAGGTTCTGAAGTTAAGATTTTCCCTGTAGTCATAGCCCCCCACTCGATCAGAAAACAGCTTTTGAATATTTCCTGGTAGTTGTTTATTTCTAGCTTCATACATAAACTGAGCTATTTGAAATTCTACCAGATCTGGGAGTTGAGGAGGCGGGACACCAATATATAGCAAAGGTCACGGATTAGTAGACCGCGGTCCGGATCCGGACCCACCGACTGGCTAATCTTGACCCAACCTGATTTAAAACATTTATAAATTACTGCATGTTGTCCGACGACAGTGTCTAATTTCACTTGCGCCGTGTTTCTTGTTTGTACGTTAAAGCCCTACAGAGCTTAGGCACCAGGCTGCACGTGATCCAAATAAGCCAATGAGCTGTCAGTCTGGGTTGCTGCTGCTGCTACTTTTAGACGCGGTAGGCAAGCCTGTGGCAAGCCGGGCGATGGGAAAGAAGGAGAAGACGATGAGAAAAAGAGAGCAGAGAAAGTGTGGACTGCTGGAAGAACTGCGGTGAACTGGTGAA